GAAAAAATTTCTTTTACTTTAACAGAAAGCAGCGTAGGTCAATGCTAAATTTTCAAGGCTGCCAGTTGACCACCAGACACGCGTACACGAGCCGCATTACGGAAAACAAAGTGCACAACAACAAAAACCAAAATATAATAAGCATGAACTGCCAATGAAGGTCTCGATGGCCATTGAAAACAGCTGGAAGTGTGTTAAGACACGTTTCCTCTCCCATGAAAATACATATTTTATCAACAGCTGAGCGAGGACCGAGCCACGACAATAATATGACCACAATATAGGTGTGTTTGTATATATTTATATGTTAGCGATGCGGCCAAAGTGTGTTGAATGTTCGCTAATTACGCTCAAATGGCAAAAGGAACGAACAAATCAAAACTTAATGTGTGCACATATTCAGGCATATTTGTACATACAAGTACATATATATACATAAATGCGAACTACGTCAGCGAAAAGTTTGCAAGTGGGCATGTACATATGTATGTATGTGTGCCGTGGCAGGAAGTAGTCTCTGCTTGTCGTTTGCTGGCAAAAACATAACCTTTTGCAAGGACAACGGCAACAAGCGAAAACTTTGAGCGCTGCATGTGGAAATTGAGGTTAAAATCCGAACTGCTGGCATTTTAATGGTGTAGAAATGTGTGTAGTAATATGCTTATATACAAGGCCCTAAGTGTGATTTTTAATACATATGTACATATGTATATTAAACAATTTATATTAAATTGGTTAATTTATAGTTTAGATTACAAAGTTTTGCGAAAATTTTTAAAAGATACAGTAGTTTTTGCTTAATTCTACAACTAAGTTAAGCTATTATTTAATAGGCATTTTGACATTCACATAATTTAATCAATTAGCAATTTTCTACTGTAGTAATTTCAGCTACTAATCAACTCAATTAAAAATACGCTTTTAATTGAATAATTAAGAGAATTTAGAAATCCCCCCTCTAATTGTTCTCAATTTATTATATATAAGCAATTAACTAATTTACCCAATTAATCGACTGTAGAAAAACTAGTTATAATTGAATAAATTGCGAATTTTAGAATCAATCCTTAATTGTTCTCAATTTACCATATAATGAAGCAATTAACTAATTAACTCTATTAAGCGACTGTAGAAAAACTACTTTCAATTAAATAATTTAGAGATTCATTTACTAGATGTTTTTAATTTATTATATAATGAAGCAATTAAAAATTTACTTAATTAATCGACTGTAAAAAACAGACTTTTAATATAATATTTAGAAAATTTGAGAGATTCAACACCTAATTGTTCTTAATTAATTATATAATGAAGCAATTAACTAATTGACTCAATTAAGTGACTGTAGAACTGTAGACTGTCAAACCACTTACAATACTCTGAAGTAAAAACATACTTTTAACTTTAAATTGAATAGTTAAGAAAATGTTAGAAATTAAACTACTAATAATTTCAATTTACCATTAAATGAAGCAATAATTAATGGTTCTAATAGCATTTAATTAAAAAATAAATTTTTAATGCCGTGAGTTGTAATAGACGTACTTCTCATACGTTTTCTTTCATATAAAAAGTCAGTTATCAATCTTCTAATTTACTTCAATGTATTAACCGCAAAATTTCAACATTTATGTTGAAACCTAGTAAAAATCAAATCAAAATTAAGTAATTACCCATTTTTTTTCTGACAGAGATATTCTCAAAACCAAATCAAAACACTTTTTAGACAGCTGTCAAAAATTAATTGTTTAAGCTAAATTGAGCACGCTTGAACACCAAAGACGATTACACAATTTACATCTTTATCGACTTCATTTATTGTCCTAATTGAATCGCCTAGTTAAATTTATATATGTACACATGTATATAGCTCGAAAATTAATTGAGTCATCAGAGAAATTTTTCAGTTATTACGGATAGCTAAATTATGAAAAATCGAATGATAATTAGGTCTTCCTCTAATACCACTACCGCACTAATTTGGAAAATCAATATTTGCACTTTCTTACATCAAGCTATATCCAAACATCGAATTTTCGACATTTGCTCACTCCCGCGTAATTCATTTGAGTCTCTAGAGAGGAACTGTTTATTGAAGGAGAAAAAATGAAGTCAAGAAATTCCAGTAAAAATTAAATATACAATTTCATTTCATTTCAGCGTATAACTGAGAGAAATCTATTTCATGCAAATTTTATAAGAATAAGGTTTTTTTTGACAGCTCTTTGACGTTTAAAGTTGCATATAACGGCAGTTTACATCTCATTAGTACGATTGATTGTGCACATAGACGACGACAAGCGGCACGCAGCATCTGTAAAATATTAATAAGACTGCAGCGCGGCTTCTCGGCAGCAAACTTGGAGTTGTCGCCGTCGCTAAATTAAAACCATTTGTAATTTTGTCGACCACAATGGGTAGCTGTAGTGTTGCCATGAAAATATATATATAATACCATATATATATATATATATACAGTGCATCACAAAAATAAGTATGCAGTGTGTTCATCTGTTTTGTCATGCGAAAAAAAGCCTTAAAACTAATATTATTAACCAATTTTTTTATATTTTGAATTATTTTATATATTTATATTTCTTCAATAACAAAAAACCCAAACTTAAAGTAATAATTTTTCAAGTTACAGAAAAGAATGTTCCAATAGCTTAAAAATACGTCACTAAAGTATGTATGTACTAGAAATAAGTTGCGAAAAAAAAGTTCTAACGAGTTTATTTTTGAGCTTTTGGGTCACTGAAGGTGGAATCTTGCTCCATTCTTCGATAAACGCAGTTTTCAAAGATTCTTTGCTGGTTATTTGGTGTCTTCTTTCTTTATAAATAATGGGATTTATTTCTTAATAATCCCACAAATGCTCGATAGGATTGACATCAGGAGATTTGGCTGGTGTTTCTAGAAACAATGAACACAAGATTACCTACTCCAGATGCTGCCATACATCCCCACATCATGAGCGACCCACCACCATGTTTAACCGTGGCAGTCGAATTCCGTGGTTCAAGCCCAGTATTAATTTTTCTCCAAACTTTTTCATGTCCATCCGAGCCAAAAATATTGTATTTACTTTCGTCCGAGAAAATAACAGAATTCCAGAAATGTTCGTCTTTATTTTCGTGCTCTTTCACAAACTTCAAGCTTTTTTGTCTGTTAGTGTTGTTTATGAATGGCTTTTTACGGACATTACAACCATGGTAGCCAGCATCATACAGTACTAAACGAATAGTTTGGGGATTGCAGGTTTTACTAATCTCGTTTGCAATCTCTCTACTCACTTTTGGTGCACTCTTTGCGTTCACCTGCATCTTGCGTGTTATAATACGCCGCTCGTTTGCATTAAATATTTTTGGCCGCCCAAATCTTTCCTTTTTTTTTGTATTTCCTTCATTTTTATATTTTTCTATTATTTTTTGAAAAGTTGAACTACTTTTATTTGTTATTTTTCCAATTTGCCTCTGACTTTTTTCTTAATGTAGTTTTATTATAACATCTTTTAAATCTTGTGATAGTTATCGTCCGCGCGGCGCCATGATCAAAATTTAAATTAAATTGCGGCTAAAATTTTATTAAAACTTGTAAATCTTTATATCTTAAACAAAAAATAGCTATTTAATGATTTTGAAACGAACAAATACTGTGTGCCAGTCAAAAACATACTGAAATGGTAAATTGCATACATATTTATGTGACGTCATTTTTGGTTTTTACTGGAAAAATCAAACGGTTCTTAATAACGGGAAATAGATCTATCATACTCAGGAAGGCGATGGCGATGTTATGTATAATTGTTATTGTAAAAAACACGAAAAGTTTTTTATTTTATTTATTTTATTTTTGTGATACACTGTATATATACATATAGATATATAATCAAAGTTCTAACAAGTATTAAATTAAATTTCATTGAAGTGAAAGGTTTTAGTACAGCAACAACGAAATTGTGTATTGTACATCAGCTGTTTGATATGTCGCTGCCGTTTTTAAAATATTTGAGGAGCTGGCTTCAAGACGAAATTTGCCGACAAGAAAAAGTCGCTGTCGTGCAGTCATCTTTGTGCTCAAAGTATGGGAATTAGGTGTCTAAAGATCAAAATTATTCGAAGTATTAAATAGTTACTTCAGAAGGCTTTGAGTATTACTTCCAACTTAATTACATATTGTCAAGTTTACGAAACTTTCCCCAACATTATAGGTATATGTATGAACAAGAATTACAGAAGCTTTAGCATTAAATAAACGCAATTCATTTGTTAAGCTTCTTAAGCATAATGGAAAAGTTTTATGTCTCATAACTATTGTACATTTGGATGACTCAATGACATGTTGTTGAATAGACATTCAGGTTTTCTTAGAAAAGCGATGACTCAGTTACACATACAAATAAATATGCATACACACATATATATTGAAAAAAATTTATATATACGTACGTTACATGATGTGATTTCAGCCATGATGATATTACCAAGATTTATTGCGCATACAAACATGCAAACTGTGCATACGAGTGGGTAAACTCGTAATTAAATGTTTATATAAAAAATAATTACAACTACAATTTTCAAAATAAAATTCGAGAAATCACAATTTTTCTTATAAAAAAATACTTGAAATTTAAAAACTTTATTTATGGTCTGCAAAATATTTTTAGGGCGTTAAGTTTTCCGTTTGCTTCCGATTTCAACATATCCGAATTAGTTTCAAATTGTTCACTTATCAAGAATTAAAATAGTTTATAACGGAACATAAATTACTGTAATTTATTGAAAAAAATTGAAAATTAATAATTTTATAATATTTTAGCTAGGTACATATACATATATATACATACATGTTTTCATTTTATGCCGAAGTATGTATGTTTAAAAATATAACGCATTTATAACGAGACTATATACCGGAAACTGTACACCACATGTTCGAATTTTTTAAAATTATTTCATATTGTTTAATTGCATTAAAATACATTTTCAACTACTCACCAAAGATGTGTTGCTAGTAAACAGTTTCCGACACTTCTACTTCTCACTTATACTTCCGCTCTCTCTCTCTCTCTCTCTCGATCTTTACTTTAGTGCAGATTACAGCAAATAATTGATTATTATTGCTGCACTTCGGCACATCTGCAATGTTGTCTCAATCACTTTCACTTTCGATCCGTCGACGGCGGCTGTCAAGTCCTTCAAAGATCTTTCAACCTCAAAAAACAATAACTGCTTTTTTATTGGGCATTTTTATGGATAAACGCTTTGTGCCTATCTGCAATGAAAATAGAGAATCAGAGTGGCTTATTAATAGAGTAATTACATTTTTTTTTTTGCATAATATAGTAAAATTGTTTATTGTGATATAATGAGTAGATATTAAAAAGTTTCATATAGCCATGGTTAAGTCGTACAGAAGGATATAAAAACTGAAAGGCTAGAAGAAATTACTCTAGGCTTGTTAGAACTAGACATTTTTGCTAAGGATTATATGTTTTGGAAGAGTTAAAAATATAGACTATTCCATAAATATTTGAATAAAAAATTCTATATGGTAAAAGCTGTATTATTACACCTAGCAAACCTTAGAAATTGAAGAAGATTATGGCTCATGTTGATCTCTAAACTCGAGTTTAAGATATTGGTTTAAAAAACTAAAAGTTTAATTTGAGTATTTATATTATGGCAATTGAATTTTTAAAAGACAATAATATCTGTATTCATATGCTTTAAAATTTTTATAGAAACGGGGTTCCTAAATATCTTTTTTTAAGGCCTATAGTGTTTTTAGACTCAAAGTACACTTTTATTAAACGGGTATAATAGTGAAAAACCCCTATTCCTCCGCTATAATGTCGAGACGTTCGAATCAGTCAGCTCAGCTCACAAAACTTTAAACACGTTTTCCTCGAAATTCTACGTTTAAAATCGGGCGATGGCGGTACTCGTAGACTATAGCTCGTAGCTCGTATATCGTATCTATACGAGGGGGTTTAGGGTGTCAAAACCACCCAAAATCGAAGATTTTAAATCAAATTCAGAAGAATTTACGAAGTAACATCAATTTTAAAAATATGTTGTAAGGCAAAACCCCCAGAAAGTAATTCTGGAAACGCCATTGACTTGAAATTTTAATTGTAGCTCACAGAAAGATTTTTGAAAGACTGCGTAACAGTTTTTTACGGTTGCATCCTTCGGTAATTGAATTTTTTAAAGCTGAACACAAACGTAGTTTACTAGAAAGTCCTATTTAGATTAAGTTCGGGTTTTTTATTATTCAGATACCACGAGTTCCCAGAGTTACCGGGTTTTAGACTGCCCTAACCTCTCAAGTTGCTGTGCTGTGTGTACGTGCAGTATAGAAAGGCTTAAGGGCACTTCGGAGAATCTTTAGGTCATTGACTAACTCTTACTGGGTTCCAATTAAGTTATTTATATACATCACATAGTAAAGTAACGGTGTTGTAAATCTGACTTAAAAACTGTAATTCCAGTTCTTCTACAGATAACCTTAATGTGACTAAAAAATATTATATTAAATCCAACCCAACCTAACCTAACTTTTTTATGAGTTCGTAAACTATTGAAAATTACTGAAAGCATTTACGAATATACTAAAGTATCACTGCTGTTTGCCATGCAGTATTTGCAAAATAACTAAATGGAGAATATCAAATTGAGCTCCGTTGTTTGGGTAAATATTTATTGCAAATAACAAAAGCTCATTTTGCTTATTGTGCACAAAAATTAGACTAATGCTAAAAAAAACTGCATCATCATCCACTTTTACGCATAAAAATAGCGACTGGAAGCCGAGGTCATCGAATTGAGGTCGATTTATTTTATTTGGCACAATTAGAAAGGCACAATGAGACAAGGAGACAAGCAAAAAAAAGCTCAGCTAGAAGACACAATAAAATGCAGAAGCGCTGTAGGCGAAATAGCGAGCGAATAAAAAACAGACTTCGTGCAATTTATGTACTTAGTATGCATGTGTGTGTGTGTGTGCTTGTGAGCAATTGCATTTTATAGTTCTTCCTCATAGCTTTTGATTATAGCTGGCGAATGCGATAAAAGTGAGGAAAAGGCAGCAATTTTCACGGCAACGGAAATATTGCAAGTAGTGCTGGCGAACAGCTGTGTGTGGTTGCTGTTGCACACTAAAAAATGGTGAATGGCAAATTTGCTGAATTACGACGACAGACAGACAGACTGATTATGCGAAAAACCCGTTAACTGCATTAAAGCGTGTTAATTCCAACAATACTGCGAGGATAACGCATCACCGCTGCTTGTGTGTGTATGTGTATATGTGTGAGTGGTGTACGTGCTACAAAAAGCTAAAGCAAGGCAAAAATGAACACATAAAAAAAACGATAAAAAAAAGTTACCAAACAAAACATGCACAAAACAAATTATGGCAAATGCCTTGTGCAACGCTCAATTTGGTCACTGCCACATGGCGCAAAGCGGCATTAACAATTGTCAGTTGCAACAGCGGCTAGCGCTGTTTACAAAAGTTTTCTTTTGATTTTTCTTGTTTTTGGCATAATCAGGTCTATAAAATAGACTTAATTTGTACATGAACTATGACTAAGTCTAAGCATATGTTGGCAGTTTGTTTTAACAGCAGCAGCAACAATAACAACGCTTGTTGTTGGCTCTAATATTACCTGCAACGATTGGAAGCCGTTAAATTGTTTTATTGTTGTTGGTATTGCAATATGCTTCAAATATACAATAATTCAAAATTTTTATATGTTGTGATTGTTGTTGTTTGTAGATTTCTGAATTTTAAAATGAAAGTTGTCCAATAACCGAAGCAGAGAGGGTAGAGTTGCTCCGAAATAGACAATGAGTACGGCACCACTGTAGAAGTGCACATATAAGGACAGTTTTATAAGTCAGTGCCTTTTTAACTAATTTTTCCAGAAAATATAATACTTTGTATAATCATTTTAAATAACCAGACCAGAATTCAGAAACTAGTCACAATGACCTGCCACATAACTTTTTATATTATTTTTACCCAAGTACCCCACAGTTTTGCCTTTCACTTGATCACTAGCGCAATATCTTTGAACATATTTTATTTTTCAGTTGCGAAAATGCAAAAACATTGTAAAACGCTCATCGAAAGTAACTGTTAGGTGGCTCTTATCAACGATTATGAGTAACAAAGCACTGATTCATCGTAAGTTTTATTTATGACGTACCGCCATCTTAGAATAATAATCGTTATGTTTATTGATAAAAATAAATATATTCCAAAATGAGTTTTAAAAAATTTTGCTGAAGTAACAAACTTGAGCGAGTAATAAGCAAGGTCTAATAGTTTGCACTAATCCAACTAGACTTCGTTAGATTCGCTTTGTTTACCAAAGAACCAATTGCTGAAAATCTCACACCGGAGTTTGACACTATAGAAAGTTTCTTAGACAAAGAGTAATCTCTTTATATAATATAAACCATAATTTATATAAAATCATATCCGTAAGCTCAAGACTAGCTTACGTTAGGATTGACAAAAAAAATAAATTTTTCACTTGGTCTCCCAGATTTGGGATAGTTTCGGGAAACAAGTATAAAAAGTTTTTGAATTTTTGCAAGTACTCTAGCAACTCAACAAAATATCTGAACCCCCTTATAGCAGACATTGACAATTGAATTCGTAAACACAACCAATGAAATGGGATAGAACTTTAAGAATGTCGAGGAATTATAAAATAATTAACATTTTTCCTGAACTGTTAGGGCACCAGAAAAATTATCTATTATAAAAAAATTCAACAAATTATAAAAATGTTTCATGTTTCTGAACTTTTTGAAGCCTTTTACGTTCACCTTTAAATATTAGACTTCGCGTCTGCTTTATTAATTTAAGAATGTTGAGATCTTATAATAATTACAGTCAGTCACTGATCGTTCATATCATTTATATACATAAATATGTGTGTGCTCTCTAATAATATTATTATATTTAATTTAACATGCGCTTGCGAAGCTATTATATCGTTTATTCGTTAATTGCTAGGAAGCCAGCTTTAACTGCCTTCGGTGTAGTGAAGCCACTGGTGTTGCAGCAATGTTGCAATCATCAGTCATACATAATGGACACATCACTGAAGCATTAAGCCAACAAACAACAACAACAATATATGAATAAAAAATTGATGAGGCAACAACTGAATTGGAGCAATTGAACAGATATAAAAGCTATGTATGTTAGATATATGCTTACATATGTGTATGCAAAAGTAACAGGAGTGGCATACAAATGGAAATGGATAAAAAAGCTTCAAGTTTTGGAAAGTGGCGAAACGAACAAATAACAGATTTAAATTCAATAGAGTGACATAATAAAATCGAGATAAAAAATAGAGAGTGCTTGTACAAATTTATGGAGGCAACTATATATGCTCTTAAGTTGAATTGAACTGGATACTTTTTCTGATTTTTTCACAGAAAAGCACAGAGAGCACCTATTAGCGTTTAGACAAAATAATGTAAATATTCGTATATTTACGACAATTTTATTATTAAATTTTAGTGATCAAGTTGGCTGTGGACTTTTTAAATATTGAAGAAATAAAAATTTAAAAATAAATAAATTAATTATTTACTTGTAATATTAAATCTTTATAAAGTGATTTGCTTACAAATGCACAAGAAAACTAAAACATAAAAAAATCAGAAAACAACAAATTGCATTAAACTGATTAAATTGTAAAGTAGCGACGTGAAGGGGACCGAGAAAAAGCGTGAACGTGACCAGAAACGCGCACTGCGCATGTGCAACACCGCATTGTAGATTACTCAAACACAGCGTGGCGCATGTACAGGAGGGGAGACATAGCGACAGCAGCGCAGTAGCGTGGCGGTTAACGACAGAGCGCGCCAGTGTTGTAAAACGAGTTCGGAAGATTGCGTGTGACATAAAATATGCACAAAAAAAGTGTAAATATGTGTATATAACAGCATAAATTAACAGCGTTGACATTCGAACATTAGAAAATGTATATAGCAACAAAAGCAATAACAACAACATTTTTTAATATAAATATTTGCTAAACATGTAATAGAAAAATTATACAATATGTAATTAAACAATAATAATCATTACTTATATTGCAAAAACCAGCGCAAATGACAAAAAAACCAACAACAATAATAGCAGTAGCAAAGACAAAGTGGATTAGGTCGCACCTAACTCGAACGTGCCACTTTCAAGCAGCTACTGTTATGAACACACATACACACATATACGAATGTGCA